TTTTCTGATGTTTCCTTCTCTCTCTGTCTATCTCTTCTATTTATCCTCTCATCGAATTATACACGAATAATCATTTATGCTGGTAAAACTGGCAATGGTATGTTGAATCGGATTGCGCACATGTTTACGAATGTATAATAGATGCGCTTCACACACAATATTGCAATTCCCAAGTGGCGCATCTCTCGTTGTATTCATTCATTCTGTCGTGTTTTACGCAATCTGTCGTGAATTTCAAATGAATTTGTCCACGTCTGGCACACCGCACACACAACTGATCAATTAATCATTACGAGGGCAATACAATTGCTGGCGCCACTTGAATTTTATTCATTTACTGCGCGACAACCCACACCACGGTCGCCGAGAACAATCGAAACAAATTTTTTCTTCTTTTTTTTTAAACTAAATTCTCATTCAGTATAAAGTTGTAATTCTCATTTAATTCAATCGATCTGAATTTTAACAGAGATGATGATTTTTTAGTTTTAGTTTTCAAACATTGTGGAATCCATTAAGAAATCTAATTTTTCTGATGAAGACTTTCATTTTTCTGAATCCTTTTTCTACTCAATTTTTACTGAATTTTTAATTTAAATTTGATGATAATTAATCAGTAATGCCTTTCTATTTAGTTTAATTTTTCATCAATTCTGATTGATAGGGACTTTAATTTTCCCTCTGAAGAATTTTTTATTTCGTTGCAATCTTATTCTACTGAATTTTTACTGAATTTTCAATTTAATTTTGATGGGAAAAAAAATTTAAATAAATAATTAATTAATTAATTAATTAATTAATTAATTTATAATTTTTATAATTTATAAAGTTTTAATTTTATAATTTGGATAAATAATCAATTATTGCCAATAATGGAAAAATTGAAGATGTTATTGAAATTATTGATAATTTCCAAAAGTTTATCAGGCGAACAAAAAAATTCAAAAAGAACGTTAGGAAAATGAATAAAATGATATAAAAAAAACAAAATTCTGTCCACAAATCTGAAAAGTTAATAAAAAAACTAAAAATGTTTTTAATATTTTCAAAAGTTGCTGGACAGTAAAAACTGGAATTTTTTTAATTCTAGAATTTTAATACTTTTTCATTACTTTTAACAAAATTTCCCAAATTTTCCCTGATTTCCTTTATTTGTGACAACCCTGATGTAGAATTCGTCGAAATAAAAATTCTCAAATAGAAAAATTTCCATTTAATCATTATTTTTTTTATAGAAATTAAGATAATCAAAAATTTGAAATTCAATAACTAAGAATATTATTAATAAAACTTGCTACATTGTTACTGTAACTTCTTCAGAAATTGTTTTCATTATTACGATTATTCATTTCTATAATTTTCAACTAAAATTCTTCTTTAAGACAATTTTTTTTAAAATAATTTTTGAAAAAGTTCTTTGTGAATTTTCAAACTCTTTTATTTACAATTTAATTTTACGAAATTTCGATTATTCAGCCATTCTTCAATTAAATATATTAGAAATTTAAAACTTCAAATAATTAAAAAAAATTCCATTAAACTTATTGAGCAAAAATTAATTCTATAGAATTCTTAATTAAAAGTATGAAAAGTTCAAATTTTCAAAGATTTTAATTTGAAATTCATTTTTAAATCAATATTTATTAGAAAATTCTACGAGAATTCAATTATTTAACTAGAAAAATAAATTTTTTTTATTAAACAATTAAATGTTTCTTAAAATTGAATTTTCATCAAGAATTTTATCAAAAATTTTTTAAATAATTGAATTCTCTTGGCAAATTTTAATAAAATTTTTAAGAATAATTGCATTTTTCGAGAAATTTGATGAAAATTGTATTAAAAATAATTGAAATTCTGCTTCAAGAATTTTATTAATAGTTTTGAAAATAATTGAATTTAGGGGAAAAATTTTATTATTTATAAAAATAATTGAAATTTTGACAAGAATTTTTGTAAATTTTTAAACATAATTGGATTTCTGCGAAGAATTTTATTAATTTATTGAAATTATTTTCAATAAATTTTTAATTAAATTTTTTTAAAGAATAAAATTATTTTCAAAAATGTTAATGCAATTCTTTGTGTAACAATTCAATTTTTTTCAAAATAATTTTAATAAAATTAAACGCAAAGAATTGCATTCAAATTTTTGAAAATAATTTTATTCTTTAAAGAAATTTAATTAAAAATTTATTCAAAATAATTTCTAAAAATTAATCAAATTCTTCGCAGAAATCCAATTATGTTTAAAAATTTACAAAAAAATTTAAGTATTATACTTAAATTCTAATAAATAAATTGTAGCAAAAGTTATTAAAATAATTAAATTTCTTTGATAAGTTTTAATCAAATTTTTAAGAATAATAACTTTTTTCAAGGAATTCCATTAAAATTGTATTAAAAATAATTGAAATTCATCATTGAATTTTATTATTTATGAAAATAATTGAATCCCTGTAAAAAATGTTATTATTTATAAAAACAATTAAATGTTTGTGTAGATTTTTATTAAAATTTTGTTTCACTAATTGAATTCTTCTAGAGATTTTTATTAAAGTACTAGATATTAAAAATCATTGAATTGAGGAAAGTTTTTGAAAATAATTAAAATTTTGCCAAGAATTATATTATTTGAAAATAATTGAATTTTTGAGAAGAATTTTACTAATTTTGAAAATAATTGAATTTCTGCAATAATTTGTAATTGCTTCAAAATTCAATTTGTTTTAGTGTTTTTAACTAAAATTCTTCTATAAATCCATTATTTTTAATAAAACTAATTAAATATATATTAAAAAATTGAACTAATTTCAGAAGAATTTTATTTTAAAAATTTTTTTTTTAAATCTAAGTTTTTTTTATATTTCTAATGAAATTCATTTAAGATTGAAGTTTTACAAAATTTTAAATGAAAATCTTTTAAAGTTTATCTACTTATGAAAATTGAAAAAGCAATTCTTTTAAAATTGAATTAATTTTGAAATATTTAAGTGAAATTAGATTTCAAGAATAAACACAATAACTTTAGTAAACAACAATTTCCCAGGATTTCGATCAAAATTCCCTGACTTTTCCAAGTTTTTTCAAGGTTTATAAAATTCTCTGACATTTCCAGCTTTTCCAGGTTTCCTGATTGCTTAGCAACCCTGCTGCTTATAATTTTGACTAATTCCAAAGTAAAAGCAAAAAATGAATTTGAAAACTAAAAATTGAGGAAATTTTAGAAAAATTCCAGTGAGCTTTCTTTGTTGCCTAGAAAAATTAGAGAAAATTGGAGAATATTTTTGACTGCAGCGTATGAAAAATTTTGTTTCCACAATCTTCTTCTTCTTCCTTTTCTTTTTTGCCTGTTTTGTTGGTATAACGCAGTTCTGTTGGTGCATGTAAAACAAACAAGGCACAACACGAGAGTATGTGGATTAGGATATCGTGGTGGGTAATGCAGGTTTGCCTCGTGCATAATGCAGCACAACGACGAGTTCAGCCAGCAAATGTTGGACGCTAATACATCTTGATGATAGATAGGGAGCATGTGTTTGGTCTTCGCAATGAGGCCGAGAAAGGGATGTCGAGGTAGAGAGTATTGTAGAGGTAGAGAGAGGCGACGGTTTCCGAGCGTAGGTTCCGAGGGTTGGAGAGAGACTCTGGGGGTTGGCATCACAGGCGCTCCTAGCTGCGGGTTCGTTCCGAAGGAGAGTTTAGATTCCAGGCACGTCGCCGTCAGACGAGCGTACGTGCGACACGACTACGCTTTTACACCCCCTCTTTTTCTCTCTTTCTCTCTCTCGATCTCTCTCGATCTCTCTCCTTCTCGTCAACTGTGAAATTCACATTTCTCTGCTACCATCTTTTCTCAAACTTTCTCTTCTCCTCCTGACTGTCCTTTGACCAAAGTTTTTTCCTTTTTTGGCTCAAAAAAAGGATCGTTACCTTTGCACGGATCCTCATTTCCTCGTCTTAGGAAATAGAAATTCGTTAACTTCCTTGTAGCCCCGTGGAGGAATCCTATTATCAACCGGATTTCCGGAAGTTCCTCAAAAATACTCTCATTAGCACCTGGAATACAGAATTCAATATTAATTTTATATTTTTTACAGAGAAAAACAATTTCAGGCCTCGGATCGACTTTAAGACACAAAAAAAGTCGCTTTAGTCGATTAAAAATTCAAAAAGGGTCGAAAAAGTCGTTTATTTAATTTAGTGTTGCAACGAAAATTTTATCTTCCAACTGTAATTATTGTAATTGAATTTTAAAAATTTATAATAAAAAAAATTCTAAGAATTACTTTTTTAAAAAAAGATTTTAATATTTTTTTAGAAGCTATAGTTTTAATTAATTTTTATTTTCATAAATTTACACTTAAAGAATTTTCATTTAAATTTTTTTGAGAATTCAATTATTTTCACAAAATTTGCAATTAAATTTCATTAAAAGTTGATTTTCAAAAATTGTATTAATAATACTTGAAAAAATCAATTATTTTGAATTAAATTTTACAAAATTCCAATAATTCCAAATCTTTTTAATTGTATATTTCGAAAATTTGATTAGAAAAATTATTCAAAAATAATTTTTGAAAGATTTGTCAATAGTTATTTTTCACACTAGAAAAATTGAAATAATTTGCAATTTATTCTAAAAATGTGGTATTTTTTTGCAATATTTGGAAGAAGAGTCGAAAAAGTCATAATATCCGAAGACTGCAATTTAGAAAATTTACATAAACTTACATTGACCAGTCTTCACCATTCCATGAGCAGCTCTCAAATTTTCAGCTCTTCAGTAAAAAAATAATCCTTCTCGTAAAGTTATCAAATTTCCAGAAATTAGCACCTAAAATACAGAATTAAATATTAATCACATTTTTCTTATTTTTAGTAATTAACACACAAAAAATCCATAAATAAACTTACAATTGAATAGAGACCTAATTTTCAACTAATTCCTTAATATGCCTTCGAAAAATTTGAATCTGGGCAAGAAAAAAGCCCTTTTGTAAAGTTATATCAATTTATTGTGCTTTAACAAACGAAGCCTTAGTAATACATTGTTGTTAATAAAATAAATTTGACAGTATCCAATGGAAACTTCGTTTAATAATTGACTTCCACGTTGTGAAAATAGTAAAAGAAAAGTCAAAGTTTGTGGTAACTCAACTTACACGAAATAGTTTTTTTTACGATAAATAATAATTCTATTTAGACCATTGGACAGTTTTATTTCGACACATATAAAGGGCTATGTATTAAATTAGAAAACACTATTTGTTTTTTCATTCATTCGTCGTCCTCTCTCTCTCTATCTCTTTCTCTCCCACTTTCTTTGTGAAAATAGACTAAATTCTTTCTCGCGAAAAAGTAAAATCGTCATACATTTTTGAATTAAAAAAGAAATATCTAACACTCTCTGAAGTTCGATTTATCATTTACAATAAACGAAACTAACAATTTATCGTTATTACAAAAAATATAAGAATATTTTACATTTACGAATATTTCTTTTTTTTCTCGCACCCAAAAAAGAAAAGCGTGTACCAAACAAAAAAAACAAAAAAGAAATTGAACATTTTTTTCAAATTTTTAGACATTTTTTAATTTTTTAATACGTAAAGATAAACGAAAATTAAGAATAATAATAATCTAAAAAACTTAAAGCTGTTTTATAATACATGTGCTATATATAAAAAAAAATATATAAAATTATATATATATAGTTTATAGATTTATACTTTGAAAATCTGGGACCGCTGCGTTTCTCGTTTCATGTTCGTGTCAGGAAACGAAAATAAAAACAGAATTTAATTTCGTTAATCCGAAACTTAATTCAGTCTTTTATTTGTCAAACTGCATTTAATTTCGTCTTGTAATCTTAATTTAGTTTCGACTCAAACCAAAGTCAAGAACGCAATTTATTGTCCAACAGAAAATTAAGTAAATCTTCCAATATTTGTTCTATTTTTAGATTTTCGTCAAACAATTTTCTGAATCTAAATGCAGTTTTCTTTCCCTTTTTTTCCCACTTGTTTTAGACTTTTAAAAAAACGAAAACAAAAGTAATTTTTCTTTTAATTTCGTTTCAATGTCGATCCCCGTGGAAAACATTTGACATAAATTTTGATTTTTTTTTATCAATGAACAAGACAAAATGAAAAATATAAAAAAAAAACGTTCAATCAATTCACATGTAGTTGGTCGCTGGATTTGAATGATTCGACCTTCGTATTTGTCGTTTTAATGTCGCCAGGTGATCGAGTGTTTCCTCGTAAAAAACTTCTTGCTTCTCCTTTGGTAATGTTCTCAACATAACTTCTAAATAAGAACAAAATTTACCAACTGTATCGTGATCGTTTGTACTGTTCATTTGTGTTTGTTCGTTATTTCTAATGCACACTTGTTTAAGTGTTGTTGTTTCCAAATCGGTTTGCTGCGGTCGTTTACGTGAACTCGAATCATTCATTATTGAATGGCTATTCATATTTTGTCTATTCGTTAAATAATCATTTCTCGAAACAACAACGCGCAATTCATTCATTTTTGCCGTTGTAGTTGGTGTGGTAATTTTTGCTAATGATTGTGAATGAGTTGGTTTTGGTTCGCGTTTCGATCTTGTTATTGGTTTTAATATTATCGTCTTTTTCTTTTTTGTACCGGGTTTTGGACCTGGTTTACCACGTTGGCGGGTGATAATTTTCTTTCCATTCACTGTCACTATTTTTGATGAGACAATTGTTGGCGCTGAATTCGTTCCAGTTGTTGGCCTTGGACTAAAAAAATAGAGATAAAATTAGATTTTTTTTGCAGAAGAAATATATAAATGAATATGGAGTTTCTTTTTCAATTGCTTACAGTTCATTCTGTTCAAGAAATGATAAGTGATTGTAGTACTCCCAGTTTGATGTCGCTGGTCGACCTGCTTTTGCTGCTCTGTTTAGAATCGCTCGTTCGCTTCGATATTTATCACGAATATGATTCCAATCTCTTCTCGCCGCACCGGCTTCAGCACCTTTAATTTCAATTTTGTTATTAGAAAGACAACAAAAAATATCAGAGTGGTCACAAGTTTTTTTAAGAAAAAGAATTTCAAGAATTTGCAAAAATTTTTAACTAAATTTCTTCTTAAAATCAATTATTTTTAATAATTTTCAAAAAAGTTCTTTGACAATTTTCAAATCCACTTGAATTAAATATATATTAGAAAATAAAAACTTCAAATAATATAAAAAGAATCCGCAATTAAAGTTTCTCAAAAAAAATTAATTCCAAAGAATTGTTAGTTAAAAATATGAAAAGTTCAAATTTTCAAAGATTTTAATCTGAAACCTTTTTAAAATTCAATTATTTCTAAAAATTTACGCTCTAATGGTTTTAATATTCAATTATAATCTAAAATTTTAACTGAAATCCATTTTTAAATCAATTTTTATGAAAAAATTCTACTAGAATTCAATTATTTAAATACAAAAAAAAAACAATTTATTAAATATTTGCATGTTTCTTAAAATTTAATTCTTATAAAGAATTTTATTAACAAATTTTTAAATAATTAAATTCTTTTGACGAATTTTAATAAAATTTTTGAGAATTATTACATTTTTTCGAGAAATTCGATAAAAAATGGTATTAAATATAATTTAAATTCTGCAATGAGTCTTATTATTTATTAAAATAATTGAATGATTGCGAAAAATTTATAAAAAAAATTTGTAAATAGTGAAATTCCTGTGAAATTTTTATTATTTTTTGGAAATAATTGAAGGTTTTTGTAGAACTTTATTAAATTTTTTTGTAAATAATTGAATTCTTTTAGAAAATTTTATTAAAATAGTTGATATTGAAAATCATTGAATTGAGGGAAAATTTTGAAAATAATAAATAAATTTCAGAGAATAATTTAATTAATTCTAATGATAATAATTGAATTCTTGAAAAATATAAATAAAAATGATCAAATTTTTTAAGAACTTAAATTATAAACAGGATCATGATTTCTCAGAAATTTTAATAAGTCCAAAAAGTAAATTTTCGTAAATTTTTATTTAAATTATTCAAAAATAATTGAATCTTAAAAAATTATGATAAAAAAATTTTAAGAATTAGTTTTCAAAAATATTTTAGTGTAATTTTTTGAAAATAATTGAAGAATTTTTGAATAATTTAAAAAAACTAATTAATTTTTTGATGAATTTTAAGTAAACATTTTAAACATGATTGTTTTCTCCAAAATGTTAAAAATAATTCTAAAATGTTATTATTTTTGTATGTATTTGAATTTTGGGAAATATGTAATTGAAAATACTGAAAATATTACATTTTAAAAAATTAGAAGCAAATTTTCATTAATTTTCAATTTTAAATTTACCTTTAAAGATTTTCCGTTAAAATTTTTGATAATTCAATTTTTTTTCAAAATTTGCAATTAAAATTCTTCAAATGTTAATTTTTAAAAATTGTAGAAAAATTCTTGAAATAAATTAATTACCTATTTTCAATTAAATTTTACAAAATTCCAACTATTCAAAAAGATTTTTATTATAAATATATTTGAAAAACTTAATTATGTTAAAAAATGATTTAAAAACAATTTTTGAAAGATTTGTTTAGTTACTTTTAATTAAAAAAATCAAAATAAGTTGCATTTTTTTAACTAAAAATTGTGGTATTTTATTGCAATGTTTAGAAAAAAAGTCGATAAAAGTCTCAATTTTCTTAATTTCCCTGACAAAAATTTTTTTCCTGATATTTCCCTGACTTTACTGACAAAAACATTATTTCTCTGATTTTACTCACATGTGGCCACCCTGAAAAAAAACTAAAAAAATGTTTGAAAAATAATTGAAAGCTTCTTTTATATATATATTTAGAAAATAATTAAAATTTCTAATAGATATTCAGCAATTAATTTTCTTAACAGAAGAGTAAAGAACTCTCTATAAAAAAATATTTCTAAAAAATGATTTATTTACCTAATTCTTGTTCAATTTCCGCCCATAATTTTTGTCTAGCTGGAACATCACGTTTTTGATACCTTTCCCAGAGTAGAACACGAGGTTTCACAGCATTTATTAATCGAACTGCGTATGCTTCTTTTTCGACCTGTTGTTTGGCTTCTGGTGTTTCATCGTCAATTTCATCAACATTTAATTCGATATCCTCTTGTTCATCGTCTAAATTTATGTTTTTTGCAGGACACTGTCTGTCGTGCCATTCACTGTCTTTATTTTCAACAACTTGTCCACAGTGAACACATATCTACAATTTTAATTTCTCATCAATAAACAATATGCTTTAAGTGTTTACCTAAAGTGCCTAAAGTAAATACTATCAGCTTTCTTTATCAAATTTGTCATAAGCAAATACCGAAAATTTTCTGTTCTCCACATTCTCAGAAAGATAATCTTTGCATTGAATTAATAAAAACCATCGTTTTAATTATAATATTTAAATATGTAAATCACTCTAACCCTCTAATCTGACAAAATTAGCAAATTCTTGGCTTCATTAGAAACCTAACCTCAAAAATGCAATTAAAATTGAAAAGTCTATTTACAAATAAAGTATGTTAAAAATATTTGAAAAATTTGTAGCTAAATATTTGTGTACACGTGTAGAATGAAGTATTGCGTGTATTTTGCTTCTGAATGCTAAATAAAAGTCGCAAAATGTAAAACATTAAGAACCATAAAATTCAGGGGAGGAGTCTTAACCTCAATATTTAGACGCAATGAGTAATATCATTTAATTGTGTACTTACGTAGACGAGATTGGTGGAATCCGACATTTTGTAAAATGTGTCTTTCTTCCTTCACTTTTCGAATTACTTATTCTATCAACCAAAAGAGTTCTTTTCGATTAAATTGGCTATAAAAGCCAAATTTATCGATGATATTAAACACCGCCAAAATAAAAGATACACGAGATAAAAAAAAATTACAGTTTATCTGAAAGCGAAGTATACCGAAAATACACGAAAAATGTCGATAACGTGGCGTGTGCAGGGCTGCCAATATAAATTTTTAGACGCTTCGCTGTTATAGATGTCAGTTTAGTCGCTCGGCGGGAAATTTAAATTTAGCAAAGATACAAATATTCAATTTTTTTTTATTGTAAATGAAAATTATTTTTATATTTTTAAAATATAATTATATTAAATATAAATATATATATATATATTTATAAATATAATTAATTTTATATTTATATTATTATAATTATGTCAATAAACAATGAAATTAAAAATTCAGAAACATCGTAAACACAAATTGAGAGAATAATTAACTGTTTAACAATCTTTATTACAAATACATACTCGACTGTTTACAAGAAACGTAATTATATATTAAAAAATAAAAAAAGCTTTTCTTAAATTTGCTTAAATATAATTTTTTTTATCTCAGCAACTAAAATGCACACTTTTTTAAGTGTATCTCCAGACAATGTTTATTTTGCGTAAAGTACAAAAACATAAAAAAAAAATAAATGAAAAAAATAAAATAATAAATGCTTTTTATAACGAACAAAAAAAAAATTTGTAATTATTTTGTACTATGACAAATATCATAAAATACTCTTTGTTTTTATTTTACATTATCCTATTTTTAAATCTTTATTCTTAAAGTTTCTAAATCTTTAATTTAAAAATTATTTCTTCTTAATTTACGATTCATATTTGCGAGATGATCCAATGTCTCTTCGCAAAATAATTCTTGATTCATTTTTGGCATTTTTCTTAACATTACTTCGAGATATGAACAAAATCGCTTTATTTCATCGTCCTCATCGTCCTCGTCAAGATTTTGCACTTCTGTTTGTTGCATCTGTCGAATGCAAACTCTTTTATAGGGTAATGGATTTTCCATGTGCCTCTGTAATATTGAACCATTTCTCATATTAATCTCCTCAACGACATCAACTTCCGAATCGGAAGATTCAATTGGCAGTTCACGTTTCATTGTGTCATCCAAAGAATGTCTGGGCGGAATGTAAAGCGGTTGCCTATTGTTTCTAATTTGCCCTCGTGAAACAACTGGAACTGGAATAATTTGTGTCGATTGTTCAATAACTTGATGATTTACCGCTGATTTCCTTTTCTTTGGTTGTTGCACTTTTGGCTCAGGAACGATAATATTTGATGATTGTGGTTTCATTGAATCGTCCAATGGCCTGTGAATAATTAGAAATTTAGTTTGTTTTCTAATTGACAAATATTTTTTTCTTTTTCAAATAATTTTTTTGACAAATTTTTGTAGAAGAAAATGTGAATTTTTTTCTGAAAGGAAAAAAATCATTTTTTCGAATTCTTTTTCTTTTTTCGAAAGGAAAAAAAAACTTACAGTTTAGAACGAGTGACAAGAAGGAAACTAAGATTAGGATAATATGGCCAATTGGAAGGATTTCCACCTTCAACTCTGCGTCTCTCGGAATTGAATTTGTGCCGAGTAGTAGACCATGTTGTTTTCGCCACTCCGGGTTTCAATCCTGTCATTAAAAAAGTATTTGTTAATAAATAATTTAAATGAAAGGTAAAAAAAACTGGGCTCGATCCAGTGAAAGTTATTTAATAACATTTTACTAAAAACTATAAATTAAAATTTTTCATAACTATAAAACATGAAGATATCGATCACTCCGAGTCTTCGACTCGGAGTGTTCGATTTCTTCATGTTTTATAATAATTTAAGATGGCCCAGTGATATAATCATTATTTTATATTAAAAGAATATTGTTAATTCAACTTCTTTAAAATTATTTTCATCTTTTCAATTCAATTATTATTTTTAAGATTAAATCAATTTTTATTAGAAAATTCTACTAGAATTCAATTATTTAAATACAAAAATTGATAATTTATTGAATGTTTCTTAAAATTCAATTGTCATATAGAATTTTATTATTTTTGAACAAAATTGCATTTATTTTTATGAATTTTATTAATCTTGAAAATAATTGAATTTCTCCAATAATTTTGTAATTTCTCCAAAATTAATTTTTTTTTAGTGTTTTTAACTGAATTTCTTCTATAAATCCATTATGTATAATAATATTTAAAAAAGTTCTTTAAAAATTTTCAAATTCATTTTCTTTCAATTCAATTTTATAAAATTTCAATTATCTATAAATTTAACTGAAATTCATATTTGAATTAATTTTCATTAGAAAATTCTCCGAGAATTCAATTATTTAATTGCAAAGATAAACAATTAATTTAATAATTGAATGTTTCTTAAAATTCAATTCTCATAAAGAATATTTTCAACAAATTTTTAAATAATTGAATTCTTTTGACGAATTTTAATAATTTTATTAAAAATAATTGAAATTCTGCAATGAGTTTTATTATTTGTGAAAATAATTAAATTTCTAAAAAGAATTTTATTATATTTACGAAAGTAATTGAATTGTTGGGAAGAAATTTATGCAAAGTTTGTAAATAATGGAATTCCTGTGAAATTTTTATTATTTTATGAAAATAATTAAACTTTATTTAAATGATTGAATTCTTTTGGAAAATTGTATTAAAATAATATTGAAAATCATTGAATTGAGAAAATCTTTGAAAATAATTGAAATTTTGCCAAGAATTTTATTACTTTGAAAATAATTTAGGGAATTTACAGACCTAGTTCGAGCCCTGAAGTAAATAAAAATTAGAAATAAGTGTAAAATACCCAATTCTTCGTCTACTTCGGTCCACAATCGTAGAAGAACCGCAGCATTTCGGTCCACTTTCGTTAGTCGATTGTCCCATAAAGGTTGACGTCTACGAACTGCATTGATAATTTTCAAAGTCTTATCTTTAGTGATTTGTTCCCCTTGCTCTTCGTCACTTGAACTCACAACATCCGGCTCCTCATATTGTCCTGGTCCCTTTTTAACACTACAATTTCTGGAGTGTCGTTTTTGATCCTTTGAATCCATAACCTTAATAAAGTTCAGTTCATAAATTTCCATATAGAACTATTCTATATTTTAATTGTAATTAAAATTAAATTAATTAATTGTAATTAAAAGTAAATTAAACTAATTAATTGTATTTAAAAATAAAAAAATTAAATTGTAATTAAATGTTAATCTTTTCTGAAAGTATTACAAAGAAAACTAATTCTTGTTTTAATTCTAATTGTAAAATTCCCACATAAAAAAATGATTACTATTATTTTTCACCAACAGGCAAATTTCAAGGACATATTTCTCCAATTACTTATGGGAACAACGAAAGTAAACAAAGATTAGATTCTAAGAAAAAAAAGAGAGAAGAAATTTCTAGTAGATTTATTCTTTAGAACATGAATTGTAGTACAAATTACAAAGTGCTGAATAAATTCATCTAAATGGTGTAAATATCGTAAATTTTTATTTGTCAGATATTTTTCTATGGGTTGACACCAGGTCCTTAAAAACATAAACACCCTTTGTTTTTCACTCACAATACTTTTAGTTTTCCAACAAAAATCCAATATTTAAACACATAAAAAAACAGTTGATTCTAATTTTTCTGAAATTAATTTTGTAAATTTGGAATTATACCAATTATACCGGCAAAATACTGGGAGAAAAGAAGCGTTTATAATTTATTACACGCTAAAGCACTTAAACTATAGTTTCCACTATAGTACTAAAATGACTTACCTTCTTTCTCGAAGACATTGTGTTTCACCGTTTAAAAATAAACTTACACACTAAGTAATTGAAACCTAAAAAAGGTGTAAAATAATTTTTTCAATAAAATAAGCGTCTCAATTTGATGAAATTCTTTTTTCCTTTAATAATACTAAACAATTTCATAAAACACACAAACTCTAGAGTCACCAACGCTCAATGAAATGCGACACTCGCGGGGTTTCCCCGAAGCTAACGGTAAATTTTAAAATGATAAGAAATTTACTAGATTGCAGTAAACTGCATTATCGACATCTGTCTACCGAAGCGAATGGCGCCAAAATTCAAAAGTTGAAATTCTCAATGAATTCTCAATTTTTTTAAAATACTGCTTTAAATTATTCATATTATTATTTATTAAATAATTATATTATTATTATTATTGTTATTATATAAGGTAATGTAGCAATTACTTACCTGAATTTAGAATCACTTTTTCGTAAATTAATTAATTTTCCCACATTCACAAAATTAATAAATTAATTAATAAATACAAAAAACAAACAAAATCGAAAAATTGCACTATTTTTATTTCTTGACAAACTAAAAATTCTCGATCTTTAAAGTAAGATTTCCAAAACAATAAAATATTTAGAAAAAAAAATATTTTTTTCAAGGAAAAAAGTCAGAATTCCTGTTTTAATTCTTTTTGGAAGAAATTGAAACGATAAATAAAGTGGCATTGTTGCAAACCATATATGTTCTTTCTCGTGTGTCATGGTTGTTAGCTACCATCAGATATAATTCTTTTATCCGCCCTACTTCCTCTTTACTAGTTGCTATTCGTATAAATTCACAATACAGGCTCGCAATTTGAAACTGAGCTCTAATAGTTACTTTCTGATTAAATGAAATTTTAGAAAATCACATATTAGAAAGTTAAGCAAAATAAATTTTTCGAATTTTATTGAAAAAAAAATTACACTCTTTAATTCTCAGAGTTTTTTTTTATTGATTAATTTTCATTTAATATTTTAATGAAAAAATATTATAATTAATTATTTAGTTAATTAATTTTATTTTACTTATTAAGTACCTAATATAATTAGTTAACTAGTTTAATAATTAGTTAATTAGTTTAATAATTAGTTAACTAATTTGATAATTAATTAACTAGTTTATTAATTAGTTAATTAGTTTAATAATTAGTTAACTAATTTATTAATTAGTTAACTAGTTTAATAATTAGTTGATTAGTTTAATAATTAATTAATTAGTTTAATAATTAATTAATCAGTTTAATACTTAGTTAATTAGTTTAATAATTAGTTAACTAATTTGATAATTAATTAACTAGTTTAATAATTAGTTAATTAGTTTAATAATTAGTTAACTAATTTAATAATTAGTTAACTAATTTAATAATTAGTTAACTAGTTTAATAATTAGTTAATTAGTTTAATAATTAGTTAACTAATTATTAAATAATTTATTTGAAATAATAAATTTAATTACTAACTTAATAATTAACTAAATTCATTAATTAACAAAATACCTAATTAATTATGTAATTAATTCCCCAATTAATTGACTAATTAAATGTTAAATTTATTATTTAACTAATTAAGTACACAATTAATTAAGTGAGCAATTAATAAATTTCCTGTTTAATTATCCAATTAATTACATAATTAATTAAGTATTTTGGTAATTAATGAATTTAGTTAGTATTTAATTTAGTTAGTATTTAAATTTATTATTTTAAATAAATTATTTATTAATAATTAGTTAAATAGTTTTTAAATTAGTAGTAATTAAATATGAAATTAATTATTTGACTAATTAAGTACAGAGTTAATTAAGTGAAGCAATTAATAAATTTTCTATTTATTCAATTAATTAATTATTTTTTCAATCATTATCATTTTTTATTTTAAACCAAAAGTTCGATATATAAATTTACACTTAACTATGAATTAATAATTATTCACCTAAGGGGCCGTCCATATATTACGTAACGCTAATTTTTGAAAATTTTGACCCCCCCCCCTCCCCCCATGTAACACGCTGTTACATACATTAGCGCCATTTTTTTGGCTTATCGTAACAAATAGCTTGACCCCCCCTCCCCCCAAAAAGTGTTACGTAATATATGGACGATCCCTAATTAGTAAATCAATTAAATTACTGAATTTACCATAATATTGGAAAGTTAATTTCAAATATATGGCGCAAATTAGAGAAAAAAAACCAAGTGAATTTCTAAATTGTAATAAACAAAATTTCTAAAAATTAATCAAAAGAGAATTTCTAGAAAAAAATGACGTAGAAAAATTCTTCAATGAAAGATAATTAAATATGTTGGATTAGAAAAATGTATTTAATTATCTTCGTTGAATTTTTAAGGAAGCAAGTCGGATATCTCTGTTGAGAAAAAAGAATAAGACTAATTATAATCAACCGAAGGAGAAGAATAGATAAGTTTTAATCGAAAAGCAATTGTTGCAGTGTCATTAAAACTTTCTCCTTTATCACACATTTGAAGACACTAACAGTCGTAAATTAAGCATCGGTTTAAAAATATAACCATCTTCTACATCGCACAATGGGCATTGAACTTTCACTGTGTATGTATAGTCATGTTAATCGACTTTTGTCTCATCAGAAAAATACCATTCGCGAGATTTGCGTTCATAAAATATCAATTTAAACCTTATTGGTCAATTGTTAAAAAAAAAATCGCGTTCTGTTCAATGAAACTGATTTCCAATTCCTTTTTCGAATTTCCATTTTTCTATTTTTTTTTTATTTTTTTTTGTATTTGTATTTTTTTATTTTACTTTTTTCACATTTATATTTTTCTATTTTTTCTATTTTCCTTTTTTCACATTTGTATTTTTCTATTTTTTGTTTTTGTATAGAAATACAAAATGTATTTTTGTATAGAAATACAAAAACAAAAAATAGAAAAATACAAATGCGAAAAAAGGAAAATAGAATAAATAGAAAAATACAAAAACAAAATAGAAAAATACAGATGAATAGAAATTTTCAATTTTCTCGTTATATAAAAAAATTTGAAATCGCGAACGTGACACAGAAAATTATTTACTTTCTCGATAATAATTATATATTCACAAGTGCGATTTTTAAAATTTCAGAATATGTAAACATATCACGCATGATATATACATTCATGTTTGATATGTCTCATATGGAATCTTTAGGTACTTTGAAATGCAATATTGAAAAACCGGTTGAGCAATGTCGTCTAGTAATCCCTATATATACACACAATATTCGAACAAATCTCGTCACAGAAGTAGAACTCTCAAAAGTCCCGCAAGTATCACGTTTTTCTTTATATATACACTTCCTAACGAGAAAAATTCCGTTAAGCACGCAATTTACGAATTCGAAAAAAATTGCAATTAAAAAAAAAAATTTCTAGTAGAAAGAGAAAAAGTTTATTGTTAAAATTTTTTGAAAAAATTAAAAATTTTACCGAATTAAAGTTACTTTAACTATTTTTTCTTTTTGATACACGAATAATTTTTTTAATTAATATTTTTTTCTATTTTATGCAAATAATTTTTTTGATGAATATTTTTTCTTTTTGTTACACGAATAATTTTTTTAATGAATATTTTTTTTATTATACGAATAATTTTTTTGTTATTAAAATTATCGCAAATAGAGGCTTGGTCTTCCCCTTCTTCGGACGAGTGGAAATTAAAAATTTGAGAAAGGCAAAATTTTATATTATATACTATAAATCCCAGATTTATAAATCATGAAGATTTAATATTTTGCAGAATATTCACTCTCCAAACAAGAAAATTTAATTCAACTTCATGTGTGTATATTCATAAATCGAATCAACATTTCATACAAGTCGTATAACTATCAAGTTTTGTATTTTAAACCAAAAAAAAAATTGAGATAAATAGCAAACTCTATTCTGCATTAAAGTTTAATAGTTTCATTTTGAAGTAATAAATTATAATCAAAAATAATTCATTCAACTTTAATTGAAAATAAATTTTTAGAAAACCAACTTTAGAGAAATAGTTAAATTTAAATTTTATCATTTCGAATTTTATCCAAAATTAGAGCAAAAAATCAAATTTTTTTTATAATTTTAGAATTCCTCGCGGAAATTCAATTATTTTCTTTTCAATTTTATTCAAATTTCTTGAAAGAATTCAATTATTTATTTTACAATTTTTAAATTATTCACAGAATTTCTATTATTATGAAAATTTTTAAAAATAATATTCTTTAAAAAAATTTAATTTTTGTTAAAATTTTAATAAACTTTATTGAAGTTTAATACAATTATTTGATAAAATTTTCCTCGAACGAAATTAATTACTTTCCAAATTTTTAATGAAAATAATACATAAAATTGAAGAAAATATTAAATTTTCACGATTTTGAAAAAAACTGGGGACTTTATAGTAGGTATAAAAATCGGAAATTAATTAATTTTTTGAATGTAAAGAGACTTACCGTTATTTGATTAATGCGTTCGTCGAGGATGTGAGCTTTTTCTAAGACAACTTCGTAGGCCATGATTCTGTCGTGAGCCGCACGGAATTCCAAGTGCATTGCTGACATGTCCCGATGAATTGCATTTGCTTTTTGGACTTCTTCAAGTCTGGATGACAAAGATTCCCATCTCTCTAGCAAACCTGAAAAACAAAAAAATCGGTTTTTTTTTATACAAAAAACTGTATGAAACAAGAATCAAAATTTCAATTTTCATCCCTATTCATATTCTATTTTTGAACACTCAAATCAATTAAATATTTTCCATGAAAATATTTCATTAAACAATTGAGGGGCTGGATGCTATAATGTGCTACGCGCCATTCACTTAACATGGCGCGTAACACATTATAGCATCCAGCCCCTCAATTAATTGCAATAAAATTTCAAAATATTTAATTTTTCGAATTTACAGGGCTCGGATCAGAATATTAATGGGGTGTAGAATGTAACAAAATATTTTTATGAAAATTATTTTATTTGTAGTTTTTTTTATTTGCAATGAGACACAAAAATAATTTTTAATCGTAAAAATTATTTTTTAATGCAAAAAAAAAAATACTTAAATGAATCGAATAATCGGTTTGATTATTATTTATTTAAAAATTTATTTTTTAATTTATTATTTTATTATTTAAAAAAAATTGTAATAAAATTGTACGCAAACATTTAATTATTTTCCAAAATAATAAAAATTTCACAGGAATTCAATTATTTACACATTTTTTATGAATTTCTTCGCAATTATTTCATTATTTTCATAAATAATAAAACTTTTTTAATGAATTCAATTATTTTGATAAAAAGTAATTAAAAATTCTAGAAAATAATAATTGAATTGAAATGATGAAAATAATTTTGAAGAAGTTACCTACAGTATAACAATATTCTTATAACATAAAATAATGATTTTATCACTCGTTCATATTTTATAACAATTTTTTATAAGTTGTTTAATTTCAAAAAGGTTTGAATTTGAAATTTTTGAAAATCTTAATTCCAATGGAAAAATAATAATAATTAATTATTTATTTAAAAAAAAAGTTTTTGATGTTTTCGAATAATTTAAAAGAAATTCGTAAATAAATGTAACAGAACTTTTTTTTTTTGAGTAAATTTTTTTCCTTTATTTTCTAAAAATTGAAAAAGTTTCAATTTCATTTTCAATTAAGATTTGTAATTGACAAATAGAATTTATAAACATTTTTTCCTTTATTTTTAGAAAACTTTGAAAATAATTGATTTTCTTGAGAAGAATTTTATTAACTAAATCTTGTAAGGAATTTTGTCAACATTTTTTTAAATAATAGAATTTTTAAAAGAATTTTATTTAAATTTTTCGAAATAATTGAATTTTTCAGAACTATTTTTTTCAATTCTCTGAATATATTTGAATTCTTTCGAGAAACTTTATTAAAAGATAAAAAATAATTGAATTGGTGCGAAGAAATTTATAAAAATTTGGTATAAGCAATTGACTTCCTGTGGAATTTTTATTAAAATTTTGTGTAAATAATTAAATTTCTTTGGAAAGTTTTATTAAAATAGTAGATATTAAAAATAATTTAAATGAGGGAAATTTTTGAAAATAATTGAAATTTTGCCAAGAATTTTATTAAATTTTTTGAAATTAACTGAATTTCGGAGAAGAATTTTATAATTTATAATGATAACTTAAATTTTGACGAGAATTTTTTAAAAAAATTTTGAACATAATTGAATTTATGCGAAGAAGTTTATCACTTTTGAAAAGAATTGAATTTCTGTAATCAGTTGTTCTTGAAATTTCTATTAAAGTTCATTAAAAATTAATGTTTTCAAAAATTTCAAATAATTGAAATTTAGTAAAATCTTTTTAAAATAATGGAAATTTAGTAAAATATTTTAAAAATAATTGAAATTTTATAAAATATTTCACAAATAATTGAAATTTAGTAAAATATTTTACAAATAATTGAAATTTATTAAGGATTTTTTTAAAAATAATTGAAATTTAGTAAAATCTTTTTAAAATAATAGAATTTTTGAATAATATAAAAAAATCGAATTTTTGGAGAATTTCAAAATTATAAATATGAAAATGATTTTTCCGCAATTTTAATAAGTGTAAAAAGTAGTTTTTAAAAAATTTTAATTTACTTCGTTTGAAAATAATTGAATCTTAAAAAAATTTGATAAAACAATTCAATTACTTTCAAAATTTGGAAATTAAAATTCGTTCCCGTGTAAAATAATAATTGAGATAAAAAATATTTTTATAACAAGAAAAAAAGTTAAACAAAATTAATAAAAAATAAAACAAAAATTTCAATCATTTAAAAAATTCAAAACTTTGCAGGAAAAGGAAAATTGATTTAAAATTTTTGAAAATGACCAACTCTTTATATATATAATTCACTTATAAGAAAATCCACTGAAGAAATTTACAGTTAAGATACAACAATGCTAAATACAAACAGATTCACACATATTAAAAAGCTACTTTATTCACATCGCTATAACATTATAACTTGCTAAGACTCTCGACTTTAAAAAGATTCCTCTGCCTTTAAAGGCTTCAAAAGACTTTTTAAAACTCCAGCTTCAAAGAGTTAGCGGTTCTCCACAGCAGAGATAGAAACATTTTCAACAATAAACCAATCAACAATGTATATATTGTAAATTATCATCACTCCCGATGTGAAAAATAAAATCCTTTCTCTTCTTTTCTCTCCAACTTCTTTGTAAATAGTTTATAACAATCCTTTTTTTTCCCAACATTAAAATAAACGACTCTATTTAAATCCAACGATCTACAAAAATGTATAGGAAAAAAATAGCTTCGATTTACTCGAGGCATTTGCGTGTTTGTATTTGTTTTGTTTTTTTGTTTTGTTTTTGTTTTCTTGTATAAGGTAGTTTTTATAAAATTCTTAGAGAGAATTTCTTCACCTGGTTAAATCACGTCCTCGAAACAAGTATCGAAGAAGACCGTGACCATTTATAAGGAAACCTGTGACCCTGACCATTTAAGAGCACAAAGAATGTTTTTGAATTCTTAGACACTGAGCGAGGCAATATATAGATCAAGCGGTTTTTATATCCTATTCTTGGCAATTTTATTCGAAATGTTTATAAAATTTATAGATAATAAATAAGAGAGAAAAAATTATAAGCACGCGATATTCTCAACTAAACGAATTTCACGCTGGATTTGTATATAGAAGCTTTTTTCTGGCTTCTTTGACCCTTTTTGACATTTTTAAATTTTACGCTCAAGTTTTATCTTTTCTGCGCGCAAAAAAAGAAGGAAAACTAACTAAAATTTTTAACGACTAATTTAACTGTCAAGTATTTATAAAAATTTATATTTTATATTTTTGAGGAAAAAAATTTAAGTACTTAAAAAGATTTATGATTAATTATTAAATTAATTAATTTAAATTATTAACAATTAATTGCAAGCTTAAAGCAATTTATCAATTAATTAAAAAATTTGTACAATTAATTGGAAACTTTGACAATTAATTGAGAGTATATAAGAAATTACTTAAAAACTTTAAGAACTAATTCATAATTTTAACAATTAATTGAAAACTTAAACAGTTAATTAAAAATTTGTACAATTAATTAGGAATTTTTACAATTAATTGGAAATTTTTTTAATTATTTGTAAACTTTAGCAATTAATTGAAAATTTTAACAATTAATTGGAAACTTTAACAATTAATTAAGAACATAAGCAATTAATTGAAAACTTTTAGAACTAATTGAAAATTTAAAAATGAATTGAAAACTTTAACAGTCAATTAAAACATTTAACAATTAATTGGTAATTTTACCATTAATTGAAATTTTTTGAAAACTTTAACAATTGACAATTTTTACAATTAATGGAAAACACTACAAATAATTGAAAACTTTCACAAATAGTTAAACATTTTAAAAATGAATTGGAAATTTCAACAATAAATTTTTTAACATAAATAATTAATAATTGGAAATATATCAATTATAACTGAATTATATTAAACAGTTATTTTAAAAATTAAACAATTCATTGAAGTATTTATCAATTAATTATTAAAAATAATTGAAAACTTTAACAATTAATTGAAAATTTTAATAATTAATTGAAAGCAAAAAAATTTATTTAAAAATTATAATTTAGAATTGGAAATTTTAATAATTAATTGAGAATTTAAACAATGAATATTGTAAACTTTAATCGAAAGAAAAATTAAACAATTAAGTAATTTTCAATTTAATCAATTAATTATCAATTTGATCAATTAATTTAGAAATAAAACAATTGATAAATCACGAAATTGACTAAAAATTAAAAAATCAAATTCATAATTAATTCAATTATTTTGGCAAATTTATCAATTTTTTAAAAAGTTCATAAATAAAAAAATTCACCAATAAATTGTTTACTTCATTTTATAATAAAAAAAAATATTGTCAGACGTAATAACTTTTTTATTAAATTTGTTAAATAATTATATTGTCTGAAAAGAAATTTTGCAAATAAATCTTTCAAGTTATTGAAAGCAGAGTAAAAAATACGCAAAAAAGGGAATAGAGACACTAAAAATCGATAGAAACAACTTATTTCTAGGGAAAGTTTAATAAATTATTTTAGAAGTAACCACGCATCATTATCTAATGACTAAAAAGAATGTGGTTCACACTTGACTTAAGAAAGTGGAGAGAAAATGTTGGAAAGTATTAGTTTTTTAAATTAAATTAATTGCGAAAAAAAATTTAATAATTAACGTATACAAGTAAATGGAAAAGAATTAGAATCTAAAATAAAGTGTCAATAATGTACTTTTTAATTTATAATAAAAAATTGCAATTTTTTATTTTTTAAACTATTTTTTAAAACAATTTCTAACTATTATAAACTATAATAAACTATAATAAACTATTTTGAACTATTGTAAACTATTTTGAACTATTTTGAACTATTTTAAACTATTTTGAACTATTGTAAACTATTTTGAACTGTTTTAAACTATTTTGAAATATTGTAAACTATTTTGAACTATTTTGAACTATTTTAAACTATTTTGAACTATTTTGAACTATTTTAAACTATTTTGAACTATTTTGAACTATTTTTTAAACCAAGTCGTAAAATATTAATTTTAATTAATTA